GGTTCATGAAACGGTGTATGATTTTTGGAGGATGATTTGGCAAGAGCAATCCGCCTGCATTGTTATGGTTACAAATCTGGTGGAGGTTGGCCGGGTAAGAATGCATTTAGTTTAGTTGAGAATAAAGGCTTGCTAGCTACAGTGGCTTTGAAAAGTATTCAACCCATTGGCATTTTTCCTATTTTGTTGCATTACCACTTGGAATTAAATGGACTTTTATTTGGTTTACATGTAATGAACATAATGAACATACACAGAATAGTTCAAAATGGTAAGGTGAAATAATTTTTTTTTAATAAAAAACTCAAAAGTGTTGCGTGCATGTATATCCCCACCCCCTTTGCTATGAATCCCCCACATACGATCTGGTGCAACCAATTACCTTTAGAAGTCACATAATTAGTTAAATAAAGACCACCTGTGTGTGATCTAAGTGTCACATGATCTCTCTATTTTTTTATATTTACTTTTTTTAACTGTTTTCACTGTTTTTCTGTTCTGCTCGGTACCTCTGAGGGACCGAGCAGAACAGCCGAGCCGAATCACTTCACTTCAGATCGGTCATTCACTCGGCTGCCCTCGGCAGCTTCGTGAATAGACCCCTAAGTTTAACATGATCTCAGTATATATATATACCTGTTCTGAAAGTCCCCAGAGTCTGCAACACCAGTGAGCAAGGGGCACCACCAAGCAAGTGGAGAAGTCCACGAAACAGGTCACAGACAGTTGTGGAGAAGTACAGATCAGGGTTTGGTTATAAAAAAAAATCAGAAACTTTGAACATCCCACGGAGCACCACTAAATCCATTATTAACCACTTCCAGCAGTTTCACGTAATCTGCTGGAAGTGGTTATACCATGAACACGGCTGCTGCAGAACATTGCTGTTTAAATACAAGCAATCCGGCATATGTACAGGTGCCGGATCGCTTGTATGGTGTGGCACTGTGTGTGTCCCCCCTCTGCCGTCGGCTTCCCGGTCTCCGCTGTCCCCGTGGGAGCCCAGGACCAGCATGGTGGGTCTCCCCTGATGGGTCAGAGGGAGATCAGCAGGCTTCGAGCCACTGATCTCCAGCAATCACTGGACCCGGAAGTGACGTGCATTACATCACTTCCGGTGTCTCTGTGCACATTCTTTGGCTCCTAGAGCCAAAAGAAGCTGGTGAAGCAGAACTGTCAGCTTCTTTGGGGTCCCTAGGTGACATTAGGGGTCCATCATTCTTAAGGATTGACATGTTTGGTATCTATTTACCCGGCGTGACCCCATTTTTATATTTTACCAAAAATTGGGTATTATATACTGTTTCGTTCCACCAAATTTCATTTTAGTGTATTTTATCCTAAAAATACTTGTTTGATAAACATTTGCGCAAATACCGTGTGATATACAAAATTGCAATCTAGCGTCTTTTTATTCTAAAGGGCCTCTGCTTTCAGAAAATATATAATTTGGGGTCTGAAGCAGCTTTCTAGCCAAAAATTCTGATTTTTATCATGTGTGTGCAAATGTAAGAATTGCAGGTGGTTAAAAAGTGGAAAGAACATGGCACCACAACAAACCTGCCAAGAGGGCCACCCACCAAAAGTCATGGACTAGGCAAAGAGAGCATTAATCTGAGAGGCAACAAAGAGACCAAAGATAACCCTGAGGTCTCCCCAGCGGTGATTGGAGTATCTGTCCATAGGACCACTTTAAGCCATACATGCTATAGGCCTAGCCTTCAATGAAGAGTGGCCAGAAAAAAGCCATTTCTTACAGAAAATAAAATCAGCATACACCTTTGCTGTTTGACAAAAGACATGTGGGAGACTCCCCAAACATATGATAGAAGGTACTCTGGTCAGATGAGACTAAAATTTAGCTTTTTGATCTTCAAATAAAATGCTATGTCTGGCGCAAACACTAGACCCCTCATCACCCGTGAAGACCCTAACCAGAGTGAAGCATGGTGGTGGAAGCATCATGCTGTGGGGATGTTTTTCATCAGCAGGGACTGAAAACTGGTCAGAATTGAAGAAATGGGGGATGGCGCTAAATCCAGGGAAATTCATGAGGGAAACCTGTTTTCAGTCTTCCAGGCATATAAGAATGGGACGGAGGTTCACCTTCTACCATGACAATGACCCAAAGCGTACCGCTAAAGCAACACTTGTGGTTTTTGGTGGAAACATTTAAATGTCTTGGAATGGCCTAGCCAAAGCCCAGACCTCAGTCCAATTGAGAATCCGTGGCATGGCTTAAAGATTGCCATATATCAGCAAAACCCATCAAGCTTGAAGGAGCTGGGGCAGTTTTGTCTTAAAGAAGGTAAAAAAAAATACCAGTGGCTAGATTTTCCAAGCTTATAGAGATGTACCCCAAGAGACTTGCAGCTGTAATTGCTGCAAAAGGTAGCTCTACAAAGTATTTGACTTGGGCAGGGGTAAATAGTTATGCACGCAGAAGTTGTTGTGTATTTTTTGTCTTATTTCTTGTTTGTATCGCAATAAAAAAATATTTAGCATATTCAAAGTGCTTGCCATTTTGGGTAAGTCAAATGATATAAACCCCCCAAAAATCAGTTTTCATTCCATGAGGTAATGCAAAAAAATAGGAAATATGCCAAGTGGGTGATTTATTTTGCAACCCACAGTAAATCAGTGTTGTCCTAAAATAGTTTTCTGTATGTCTTATAGCTTCACAGGCCTAGTATAAAGATTTAGGTGAAGTGAAATTGTTTAAACAAATGTGTAAACCTTTTCTTTGTCATTGGTATCTCAGAGATCTGTAAACATTCCACTCTTCTGCCATTTTTAACAAATCTTCTCTATTAAACAATATTAAACTTTGTTAGAGATTTTAGAACTTGTTACATGGGTTGCTTTGTTGGAGAATTTCAATTAAATGGATGTATGGCATAACCTTTTTAGTTTTGGAGTGTCTAGAAAAGGTTAAAACCCCTGTCAGAAATGTTTGGGTTTTTTTTGAAGGGGGGGGGGGGGGTCTCCGGTTTGGGGGGTGCAAGG